TGAACATTGAACGACTAAGGAAAAGTTAGTGGAAGAAATGTTACACTGATGCTAGTTGTTTTACAACAAAGTGATACTACTAGTTTATGATTCGAAGACGGAGATTGTGGCCACACCATAGTTTCCAAGAAAAACAGGGTGCTAGAAATATCACTCAGTTACGAAAGTGTGAGGGAAATCGATATTTCACCAGTCACAACTTTCATTTCTATTTCCGTAGCTTCGATCGTAGTGCTGCTGATAAATTACTCAGTATTAGCTAATGAAGTTCACCAGCTTTTTACTATAATAAATATAACTTATTTAGCAGCATTACCTTTATCCGTAAGAGTTTTCTTCACAAAGTTGTAACCGTTGTCGACGCTACGCTGATCGCAGATGTCCATCTGAAAGACACTGACAGCACTTCGAACGCCAATCTTCGACCGCAGATTTTTCATGCCTTGCTCGGTGAGGCACGAGGCGAAGGTCGGAATATTTTTGACGCTTAGCGCAATGGCCAATTCCTCGCCGAACCCCGAATCACAACCGGTAACCAAAACTGACCGGCCGTCGAACCGTGGATGACGAAGCGTCCTGATGAAAGTATCAACAACGAAAAAAATGGCAATGACCAGTAGCGACAGCAAAGCGAACCACATTTTTGACTCATTGATTCGGTGGCGTTTCGGCTACAATGCGTGGGATCACATTAATGTGCCGATTCAGCGAGGCAGTTGACTCAGCTATTCGCAACGTTGGTTCGCTATATGACAAATCGATAGTTATGCAAAATTCTCAATGACCCAATGTAACGACCGCGGACAACCTGTTTCGGTGAGATGAAGGTCAAGTTATGTATGCTGCGTGGATGGCTCATTACTACCTGCAAAAATATCGGCCGTTTGCTAGACTGGTGTACTTGAGTTCAAGACCTCCCGAAAGTTCTTATCGGAATCAGCGGTATCAATTCTTCACAACAGAACGCTTCTTGGACGAGTGTGAGAAATCAATTTTTAGGGCTGGAACGGGCTTTCTTGTCACTAAGCAGAAGATCTCGATTCTTTGGTTGTTAAGGGAATCGATTAGTGACATTTAGCAACTACTCATACCTGACAGCGTAAAACGAGGATTTAAAAGGGTTGTTTTTACGGAATTTGCAGTGCGCTGACTTGTTCCATCTTT